CTTACAAATGGATCTTCAAATATAAGCTCTCTTGAGTAACTAGAAGAATATCTCTAATATCTAGGAAAAGGATACCAAGGTTCTTCTCTAATTCATATGTCAATATGTTTTACACCATGGGTAATCTTGACCTCATCATCATCCTTTATCCTTGGCTCAACAAGTCCATCTGACTCATCAGATGCCACATGGGTGGATTCCTCTACAACTAACACTCTTTGTTTGAAGACCCTTTGGACTTTACCTACTAAGGAATAAACTAATAAAACTCCATCATCTTCCTTAGAATTAAACTTTCCTAAATGATATTTTCCATTCACAATCACAAAGAATTTGCAACCAAAAGCATGTGGATCGATATGTTAAGGAACACGCATTTCAAATTCCTTATTTATAGTGTATTACCCATAAGTAGTTCATATTGTGTCTTATTTAGGTTGGACTTAATTTTTTTCCTTATTTAGCACATAGCAAGCAATATTCAGTACCTTTGCCTAAAAATATCCATGTAGTGTATATTATTTAAACATTACCCTAGGATCTCTACTTCTGTGATATTCTTCCTTCTAGATATTCCATTATATTATGGTGTCCTATGGGACAAAAAATTGTGATCAATCTCAAATTCTTTACAAAATAAATCAAATTTTTTATTCTAAGACTACACTATGATCACTATGAATTGTAAAAATTAGACATGTTAACTTACTCTGAATCCAAGAGGTCAAAATCTTAAGCTCGTCAAATGACTCACTCTTATGTGCAAAGAATCTAACCCATATTAATCTAGAGTAGTACTACTATCATAAATCTAAAACTCTTAACTCCTACACTAGTTGTACTAATGGGTCTAAATAAATATGTCTAGAATCTCCAGAAATCTAGTGGAAATGATATCCTTAATAGAATGAAATGTGTACCTAGAGTTTTCATAACTAAAAAGCATCACACAAATGATCTTGAGAAAAATCTAGCTTATGAATTCCTCTAGTTAGATCTTGCTAGGTACTACATAAGGGTTTTTATACTAGCATAGCATAGTCACCTATGCCATAGCCACAATTTAACCATAATAGTTTTCAAGAAATAAAGATTATCAGAAATATCAATGCAACCCAAATCAAGCATATAAATATTATTAAATTGTTTATTTTCTCTAATTATTTTTCCATTCAAAATAACAAGCCTTTATTTAAAATAAATTTTACATCAAAATATTTGTTGCATAGTTAGCTAATGCTAATTATACTATGTTTTAACTCTTCTACTAAAAGTACATTTATAATAAAAAAAGCCATTAGTTTTACCAATTGTACCTGAGTTAATCACTTTCCTAGTGGTTTTGTCTCCTAATATTACCTTGCCTCCTCTCTTGGCTTCTAGTATGATAAAATACTTTAAGTATCTACTCGTGTGTTTTAAGTAGCCACTATCCAGATACCACATGCTCTCACTAGATCTCTTATGAAAGCATTTATAAAAGCAATCAAAGGTAAAAAATTTGAACCCAAGTGAGTTTTGGTCTCGCCTTCTAAGGTGAATTTTGCAAGTGAGTGCATTGTGTCCTAGAAAGCCACAACAGTGATACCTAAATCTTCGAAATGGGTTCACTATTAATGGGGGATAATGCATCTTCGTAGGGATATATGATGCATGTTGTGACCTAGGTTTTGGTTTTAAGTGAAAGTGTAGGACCGTGTGTATTATTTTGAAGTAGTTTTATTAACTTTTATAAATGATTATTTACACTTTTATAGTTAGCCACTTAAAAAAAAAATATCACACCCACTTTTCAAATAAGAAAATTATCCTTTCAAAATTGTATGCTACGTTTTCATTTTCCTATATGAATCATGAATTTATTCAAAAATGGAAAAAATTTATTATTGGTTAGCTCACATACTTCATCTTGATCAGATTTTCTAACACAATTATTTGCCATTAAGCGTAAATTTTTTACCTCCTCTTCTATCTCTTTTTTGAATGAGTCTAAGGTTAAGTCTATCGATAAGGCTTTTTGCATCCTCCTCTTTATCTTATTAGATCTAAAATTTTCTTTTACCTTTTCTTTAGTAGGGTGGCTCTTAATATTAGAGCAACTAGATCTTAAATCTCCTTACTTCCTGCACTCAAAGCAAATAATTTTAGAACAAACTTTATTAGATTTACCTGATTTACCATTATTCCTTTCATGGTAGGACTTTTGTTTCTACTTTAGGAATCTTTAAACTAAAAATTCATTAAGGTTATATCATCATTCTCATCAGCTCCATAGCTATTTGTATTTATTTCATCAACCTTCATTTCCATGATTTTCACCGTTTTTTCTTATCACATATACCAAACAACCTTTGCTCACATTTTGCTCATAACCAAGGAGAGATCCCAGTATATTATCAATAAAATGTGCATTCAAATATTTATATTTTAAAATAATGGTGGCTTTTGCATTGTATGAATTAGTTGTGCATTCAAATATTTAGATCTTGAAATAATGGTGGCTTTTGCATTGTATAATCAGTAAAGAACATATAATCTTATTAACTTTCTCAAAATTGTAGAATTCTCTTTCAAAAGCATGTAATGAAGTTAGTATTTTGGTAAACTTAGTGTATAATTAGATATAGTTTTTTCTAGGATTCATGAAGAAGAGTTTATATTCATGCATTAATAGATTTAAGCAAGATTTTTTTTTAACTTCATTTATACTTTAATATGTGATGTAAAGTTTATCTCAAATATTTTTTCAAGTAAATGATAAGTGTAAGTAATGTATTATTTTATACGTTATATTGCAGTGAAAATATGTTGTTTAGTTGTGTTGTTTAGGAATAATGTAGAAAAAATGCAAAAAACATTTAAGTGTCATCTAGCATAATGGTGTTGGACCAAATAATGTCAAAGCACCATCAAAGGCATCACCGGAATGCCACAATATCATCATGGAGGTGCCAGTTTTTCTATCGGACAGTGCCGCAATGACAAAGAGCCAGCTTCACAACACCCATCTTATTATCTTCAAGCATCACAACATCACAATATATGGCACTACAGCATGTGCAAGTCAGTAGTGCTGCATCATGGTAGTTATAACTACCCAAGGATATGACCTGTCAATGAAATATTGTGAATGTTCACTAAGTAGTGCTGCAATATGGTAGTCGTAACTGCCCAACGATATAACCTGTCAGTGAAATATTATGATTGTTCACTATGTAACCGATCGACAAAAGCAAGCACTGTGACGAAGTCAGAATAATAGCACATCGACGTTAGTTCATTTTTTGGACAAAGTAGAGTCAACCTTTCAGGTGCCACAGTGAAAGTTTCCTCCTTCATTTTTTTCCTATAAATAGTCGATGTGTTATATTTGTAGGGGAGTTCATTCACTTATTTAATTTCAGTATATTTCAGAGAACATTTCTAATTCTCTCTTATGGTTTCAACTAAGAAAAATTAGGAAAGTATTTAATCTAATCATTAAAGTATTAGTTTGTATTTGTTGGAGCAACTTTATACATTAAGGAAAAAGGGGTTTAGAGGAGATTCATTAAACTTTCTTGGTGATAACATTCTATTGTATTTTCTTTCTTCTATGATTTCAATGGAAATGAGGTTTCTTATCTTTTCTTTTATGTCTGGCTAATTCCTTAGTTTTAGAATGATGATGCAGATAACATATTATGTAATAATGAAAATGTTTATGCTCTTAAGTTAAAAGTTCTTTTCAATATTAACCCGCTCTTAATTTAATGCACATAGTGCTCATATGTGTAGTTAAAATTTAGTGTGATATATAACATCAATGGGGTAATACAAGAATAACGAAGAATATTAGAATAGTGTGTTTACATACCAAGATATATGTTATAAAACATGATAGGTTCCTAAGGAGATTATATAATTATAGGAGGTTAGTAGATATCATTTTCACCCCTATAAGTTCGACAGAGATCTAAGGAAGCATATGTTTTGAAACACATCACAATTAAGAATTTCATTAGGAAAGTTATGCAATTTATAATCATCAATCCAAAATACTTTTCAAATATTATATTCATTATTTTACTATCTTTATTCAATGATTGAATCTCCATAACAAACATTTTTACTAAAGTAAGATGATTTAATGATTAGAGCAACAATAGTAGTTGATTGATAGAAAGCATACTTCCTCTTAGGTTTAACACTCTACTATATCACTTTATTACTTTATTTGGCATGTATACTTTCATATATTAAGTGGATTTATAAATTTATATCAAAGATAACCTTAGCATTATTTAGGGACGATAGAGACTTAAGTATATATTTTTATAATTTAAAATTACACTCCAATATAGCCCCTTCCCCATAAGGTTTTTTCCGATGCTGCTATGGAAGTGTTTTACTTTTTATAATATTTTAACTATATTATTGAATGAATTGCATAGTTAGACCCACTTACATATTTAATTTTATTTATTTTCTTAGATCACTAATTATATGCTTTGTTTTTTTCTTGGTTGCATGATTTATAACCATAAATTGGAATTTTTGGAATTTAATATTGAAATTGAGAGAACACTTTAAAAATTTCAAAAAAAAAACAAAAAATATTTTAAAAATGGTTAAACTTGAGTTACAGCAAAATCTTTCTAGACCTCTTAAGGATTATGCAAACTCTTTAGTAAAAGAATTCATCAGACCATAAATATACCTACAATCCAAGCTAATAACTTCTTATTAAAACTAGCTATTATTCAAATGGTTCATAACTCTTAGTTAGGGAGCACTCCTATAAAAGATCTTAATTTACATTTAGCCAGTTTCTTAGAAATTTGTTTAATATTTAAATATAATGGTGTTAGTGATGATGTTATTAGACTTCGATTGTTTCACTTTTCTCTCAAAGATAAAGCTAAAATGTGGTAAAAAATTTTATCTCATGTTCTATAACCACTTGGAATGAATTGGCTCATAAGTTTCTTGATAAGTATTTTCCACCTTTAAAAATAGCAAAACTTAGAAATGACATATCTTATTTTACTCTCTTTAGAGGATAATCCAATTATGAGACTTGGGAAAGATTTAAGTAACATCTTAGAAAATTCTAGCATCATGCATTACCTGATTGATTGAGTATTTAAACACTTTATAATAGATTAATATAATCTCTTATAACTATAATTGATGCTTAAGTTGGAGGATCATAATGTCTAAGCAATTTGAGGAAGCTTATAAATTAATAGAGGAAATAGCTACTAATAAATTACATTGGCCTCCTGAATGGGTGAATCCTAAAAAAGTAACTGAAATTTATGAAACTAATGATTTATCAAACTTGACTGCACAAGTTGTATCAATATCTATGAAGTTGAGTACAATAGAAGTAAACTCTAGAATAAGAACTTAGTCTTTAGGGAATAATCCCTATTCGAATACAAAGGATTGAAAATATTAATGTAATTGGAAAATAAAATAATTCCTATTAAAAATAAAAAATTGATATTCAAAATTATTAACTATATACTCCAAAAAAAATGGGGACTACTAAAATACTTCTATCATGGAGAAAAAAAAAGAAAAAGATGAGTATATTCAAAAATTGGCATTAGTTAAAAGCATGGAATCCAATTAAAATCTTATATTTAAAATTCATATATTATAAAATAAGAAAAATAGTACAAATGATGGTGAACTAATAAAAGTTGTAATTTTAACTACTAACATATCTAATTTGTAAATTATATTATTCATTTTAAAATTAAAAAAATAATAATTAAATCTATAACCTTTGAAGTTACAACTACAACACTGTGATGGTATTGACATTCGAGCGTTATGATGCCCGGTGTAAAAAATGGTGCCATTGTGAGAAATTATGGCACTACAAGATCTAAAAATAGAGAATCTGGCAATGTCAAATTGACTTCTTGATGTCATGGCACTGGTAATTCAATAATGTTGGCTTTACTGATGCTATAATGCTAGTAAACTAAGAACTTGACACTGTAAAGTTTTATTTGTGGCACCTCGGTAGAATTTTAGGTGGCGCTATAGCATTATTTTATTATACGCTATAACACTCTAAGCGCTTCAGAATTTTCTACCATTTTTTAATTGTTTGAATAAACATAACAAAAACAACATATTTTCACAAAGAAATAAAATATGTAAAATACTATATAATTTACAGTTATCAACTACTCACTATTACTATTAGAATTTTTACATAATTATTGTGCTTTTATTTTTTTTATATAACACTGTGATTTATTATTCATCATTTAAATATTTATAAATTATTTGATGAAGGAATGGAAATTTAGATCGATGGTTGTGATCGACTGGACTATTATAGCTGATTGTGATTTTATATTTTATTTTTATGAATTAGGAAAGGGAAGGACTAAATTAATTTTCAATTTCAAGATTTGATATGAGTCTATATGTATTTCTTTATTTTGATCTATTTTATAGTCTTGGCTAGCTTTGGTTATATTTTACTCTACTATCTATTTTATTGTTATGTAATATAATGAAGATCATGTTTATGCATTTTGATGAAATAGAAGAGATTTTTTGGATCAGTTTAATTTTAGTATTTAAGATATTTTAGTAGCATTGTAGTCTATTATTTTTTCACAAATTATATTCAAAAGAATTTGAAATAATTCTAAAACTTGATCTTGGGATTTGTCTGTTATAACACAACATTATAGGACCTGTAAGATTAATTTGGGTTTTGACAAGTTTTTTTGTGGAATCAGAGTAATACTTTTAAAAAATGGATCATGAGACAAAATTATAGAAATTGATATGTAAGTTAAGTGGGGTAGTTTTGGGTCTGTTTGGGTATTTATTATTATTATTTTTAGGTGTATGTACGTTTAGTTGCACATTTTATGTGATAGAGATCCACTAGACCCAAATATAATAGATGGACAGAGTGGTAGTCAAGTAGCTCTTGTATATACTATTTCTTTGAGGACCTATTATAACACAATTCCTCAATTTGCTAGTTTGATAAGCCAAATAATTGGTGAGGTATAGATCATAGCTCCTAATGTTAGATCTGATGAGGTATATTAACACTTATAATTTTTTTTCCAAAATTAAAACTCCTATGGTTTACGGGAACTATTGAGCTTAATGCACCAAAGTATTAGTTGAGGAGACTATAGATGATATTTCATGATATGTAGCACCCTCCTAAGAGGAAACTATCATTAGCAATCTTTTTTTTAGATGGGGAGGTAGATCCTCTATGTATGGTCTAGTAAGAGGATAAATTTTAAGGGATATTATATGCTTTGATTAGGTGAGAAGAATTCTTTGTTATGTTTGAAGCCTTATTTGTTCCCAATTTTGTATGTCAATAGATGTAAGAGAGTTTTTTAATATTAGTTTAGGGGAGTAGGATTACCATGCAATATAAAGAAGAGTTTATTATTTTAGCTGGATTAGCTTCCCACATGATTAACACTCCCATAGGGAAATGCTATAGATTTTTCAGAGGAATTTAAGATAGTCTAAGATTGATAATGGTACTATTTCATATTTTTTATTTCTATGAGCTTGTGAAGAGAGCTCATCTCATAGAAAATGATCTTATCACTACTCAATAGCGGTGGCATACTAGTAGGAAAAGATTTGGTGAAAATAGTTCTAATTGTGGATGTTTTGAGAAGAAGAGAAAATTTATAACTAGAGAAACCAGGGGAGGTGCACAGTCATTGCCTATGAAAGCTCTGATTAGGAGCAGTGATCATAATTTTAAGATTTTTATTAGTAAGGAACCTATGTACTAGAGTTATGGAAGATGTCACTTTGACCAATGATATAGGATAACTGGCTAGTATTTTAGAAGTGGATCGATGGGATATAGGAAGGTGGACAACCCATAAGCAAGATTTGACAAATGATTTGAGGGTTATATTAGACCAATTTTAAGATTAAGTGTTGTTCCACTCTTTATATTTTCTTAGGGACCATTTAGTAGAGGAAGAGAATCTAGTTATGTGGAAAGTAATTTTTTAATAGGTTAAAGAGAGTCTGGTAATTTTATTACTCAAGCTTTATTTCAGCCATGTGTATATAGTTTGACTCAACTGGAGGCTTGTCAATCTACTGATATTATGACAAACTTGGCTTATATTTTTTAGCATCCATATCATATTTTATTTGATTCAAGAGCCAGTCATTCATTTATTTTTAGCATTTCTTTGATTTACTATACATGCCTTCAATTTTATTTTTTTATCTATTTATTATGTTAGCAACTAGAGATGGTAAGATAACCAGTAGAATCTATTTCTATGACATTGAGAGTTTTTATATGAAATGAAGGTATAGTTTGATTTTATTACCCATTTTTATATTTGATTATTTTGGGTATAGACTAGTTGAGTAAGTACGAGGCTCTACCTGATTACATGAAGATGTGAGTTAATCTATTTTTGGGTAATGAGAGTTTTGTAATTTAAGGAATTTAAGGTGTTTTATCTTATTTTATTTCTTCTGTTAATGTAGATATATTGTGGAAGAAGGGTTCCATGATATTTTTTGCATCATTATAGGATAGGAGTATAGATTCTAGTCCTCTCTAATGTCCCAATAGTACATGAATTTTTAGATGTGCTTCCTAAGGAGTTAGTCAGTTTTCCTTCTGATAAAGACAGAGTTTTTTGTGTATGTGATTTTGAATAAAACCCAAAGTTTTAAAGCTCAATATAGGATGGCACTTGAGAGCTTCAAAAGTTAAAGATTTAACTTCAATAATTAGTTGATTGAGGATTTAATCATTCTAGTTTATCTTTTTGGGGATCACTTATTCTATTTGTGAAGGAAAAGGATGATATAATGAACATGTATATTCATTATATGGAGTTAAACAAATTCATTACCAAGAACAAGCATTATCTACCATAATTCGATGATATATTTGATCAGCTTGCCCAATCTTCTATAATTTTAAAATTTTTTCTATGATTAGGATATTATCAGGTAAAGATGAGATATTCTGATGAAATGAGGATAGTTTTTAGTATGAGGAATGAATACTATAAGCTTTAAGTAATATACCATCCAACTTTATGGATCTGATGAACAAAGTGTTCAAAAAATTATCTAGGTCATATTGTTATTTTTTTTCATAGATGATAGTTTGGTTTATTCTTCTTTAGAAGAAGTTCATGCAAGACTTTTGAGAATTATTTTGGAGACTTTGAGGTAGCTTTATCTATACATAAAATTCTCCAAATTTGAGTTCTATCTAAGGATTTTTACTTTTTTAGGGAATGTGGTGAGTAGTGCTAAAATTTATGTAGATCCCCAAAAAATTAAGGCAGTTTCTCATTGGCCAAATCCTATTACTGTGTGTGAAGTACACCATTTCTTAGGTACAGCCAAATAATATAAGAAGTTTATGAATGGGTTTTCTTAAATTTCTGCACCTTTGATGATGTTGACTCAAAATTCAGAAGCTTTTGTCTAGACAACACAATATGATGCATTTTTTTAGAGATTGAAGGATTATTTGTCTTCTGCTCTAGTTTTGGATCTTTTATCTAGTATAGAAAGATTTTAGGTATTCATTGATGCTTTACTAAAATTTATGGGATATGTTCGAGGCACAACATAAAGGTATCTTATGCCTCCAAAGAGTTGAAGCCACATGAAAGAAACTATCTGACACATGATCTAGAACGTATTATTATGTTTTTTTTTTTTTTTTTGCTTTGAAGATCTGGAAAAATTATTTGTGTTGATATTTTTATAGTTCATCAGAGTTTAAAGTACATATTTACTTAATAAAATCTAAATAAGGCAAAGTAGATGGATTGAGTTGATTAAGATTATGATCAGACTAATTAGTATTTACTTGGTAAGACTAATTTTATAGCATATGCTTTAAAAAGAAAGTCTTCCAAATTTTTATTTATTCAACTTACTTCTGATAAGTATTTGATACAAGATATGGAGATATTATAGTTGGAAGTGATTTCTTCCATTGATTAAGATTCTAATGTATTATCTTAGATAATTATTCAGCCTTCTTTGTAAGAAAAGATTAAGGATGCTCAAAAGTTAGATTAAGAATACCTAAAGTTAATTGATTTGATC